AATGCGTACTTCAAGCGTGCAGTCTCTTAATTGGGACACAGCCCCTGAGTTGGGACACAGCCGTTGGCACCTGCGTGAGTTCATCTCCATGAAGGATGTCTGCTTTGTCCAATCAGGATGAGCCTTCCACCTGTCAGGAGCCTGGTGGCTTCGGAGGCAGATTTTTCTATCCTCCGAAACAAAGCATGGCAAAAAAAAAGTTGGATATAATTTAACAAAAGTCTCATATGTTGAGGGTGTCACGAACATATTGTCTTGATTTGACCAGGTTGGGTCTTCTCAGTGCTGTTTGAGCTCATTAATAAAGTGTAGGCTGGTTTGGTTCAGTAGGACATGATGAGTGATGACTGTGTGTCTTTAAATAAGAAACAACTGACAGGAGGCGATACGGTGTGAACTGCTCTGCATGAGACAGAAAATCATTTTGATTAAACATCTGACCCACCGTCACATCTCCGTCACCAAACCACATGTGATAAAGGAGAACCTGGTGTTTATATGAGATGTCCTTATTGTTCCATACTAAGGCTCTGTGTGGGGAGAAGAGATGAATCCTGTGATCACAGGTCGTGGTTTCTCCTGACGATGTGCCACGTCCAGCACAGCTGAGGTGCTGCGATTGGCCTGAGGGACCAGATCTCCTCCACTCCTCTTTGATGGTCTCAACAGAGCCTGAGGAACTCATTCATTTATTCTGCAGCTCTGTTATCTTTTCATCAGCTTCACCGTCTCCTTGAAGACTGAGATGAGAGCTTCACTGATGGCTCTTGATTGTGTTTTTTGAATTTGATCTCTCGTTGATTTTATCACAAATATTATGAATGATATTGTTTTGGTCTTAGACACCTGAGAAGCTGCTCGGGTAGATGATGTTTCTTTGTGTTTGACACACAATCGTCCAATCTTAGATTTGCATTATATTATATTATATTATATTATATTATATTATATTGACCTATCATGAATAAATGGCGCCCTCTAACGGTCACTTGCTGTAACTGCTGCAAACGTGTTAATGCTTCATGCATGATCCTGCCGGGATTCCGTAGTTTTGCTTCCACATGTCATCGGGACGAACCGGCAGCTTCATACAAAAAGAATAAAAACTCAGAAATCTTGTTTAGTTTAAAAACACGAGACGTTCAAACTTCACGTTAATATTTTTTAAACTAACAAAAGTTATAAAATTATTAACGAAGGTTTGTTGTACTAATGTTGTACTAATGTTCGCTCAAACACACGTTTTAATTTTTGGTTTGAAGACTTTATACAGCCTGAACATCATCATCATCATCAGCATTATTATTATTATTGTTTCAAATACTTCCCGCTGCTCGTCTTGCCTGCAGGTGAGGACCAGGTGTTCAATTAATTAATTAGACTCTTTAAATCCTTTGAATGAATCCTGATATTTAATTAAAACACCGGAGATCACGTG